ATTAGTTACCGAGATATCGTAGATTTTCTTACAGAATCTGCTACTGCGTGGTCCACTTATTAGGAGTATTTTCCTATATGTAGGTCATCCATATTTTGCCGACCTTCACAACCCCATAACTTTTTTATTTATGAACAGATTCTCAAAATTCAAGAAGCATAATTCTTAGAATTGAAAATTCTTTCTTAGGTACCAAAATAAAAAGGGCTAAAGTGAAAATTTAAATTTTCATTGACATTGCTACATTGAAAAACTTAACATAATTATTATTATACAAAACAGTTTGCGATAACAAAATTGTACTAAACAGTTTTTTAGTTTGAATAACAGTTTTAAGGCACTTGCAACACAATATGGTCATATAAATGCCAAAGATTAGAGGTGTTACAAGAGAGTAACAAACACAAAAAAGGAGGAGAGATCAGGACAATAGATGTTTGACAGGAAAGAAGGAGCAAACCACACCAGAGCACCTGCCAACCACCCACCTAAACAGTTTGAGATAACAAAATTGTACTACACAGTTTGAGATAACAAAATATATCAAATATAATCCACAAAATAATCTGGATGAAATTACGAAGACGCGGGGAACAAAAAAAAATCAAACAACGAAATTGTACAAAAGGAAGTGGGGCTAAAACGTCACATCTGTCCACCACCCCCAGTTTGAGACAACAGAGTACATCAAATAGAGTTTACACAATGACTTACATGAAATTATTATCAGGACAGGAAAAAAAACAACGAAATTATACAGAGCTGCTAGAAAAACTGGCATGATTAAATTTAAAACTCATTTTTCTAGGAGGAGAATACAGTGACAACAAAAACACCCGCGACAGAACAACATGTCTACGCTGATTCATGAACTACTTTTCTTGAAAAAGGATATAGTAAATAAATTATCTCTATTCAACAAAACAAGGAACAAGCCTATGCTGACTCAACGAAGAGAATATATCATATTCAACAGGACAATTGTTTGTTCGTTTTAGTAGAGGGTTTTACGGCGCTGGCAACTGCATAATGTCATATGAGTGCCACGGGGTGAATATCAACAGAGAAGTCCTTACAGGGAATCAGGCTTACTCTGCTCACCTCTCTAGCCTCAACAGCACAAAGTCTGTACACATGGGAGGAAAGAACTACAATCACAAACCTATGCTGACTCGGAACAAGAAGAACTACAATCACAAACCTATGCTGATTTAGAGGAGAATACAATTATAAAGAAAACAAGCAGAAACTCCGCCAACAACGAACAAGCCTGTGACCTACGACCTCCGCCCCACGACTCACTCTGATGGCCCGACTCCTGGCTGTAGCTGACAGAGGCGGAGCGTATGTTGGGCGAGCGCTCGGCCCGTGCGGCGTCGCACGTCTGGTTGGGGTGCCAGTACTGCTTGCAGTGGTAGCAGAAGTATGTGTCACAGCCCACACGCTCACACTTCAGCTTGGGACAACCTGCACAGCCAGTGGCGATCACAGCATAGCTGGGGAATAGACAGAGAGAGAGAGTGAGAGACTGAGAGAGAGAGAGAGAGAGAGAGAGAGAGAGAGTGAGAGAGTGAAGGTATCACAGCATAGCTAGGGAATAGAGAGAGAGAGAGAGTGAGAGAGA